CACACACACACACACACACACACACACACACACACACACACACAATGACAACTTGTATCAACCATGACGGGATGAGCAGCGGAAGGCAGTGGTCACATAGAACTCCCTCAGTCACGCGCAGTGTCCAAAAAAAAACTCACACTGCATTCCTGGTCTGGAAGCACACTTATGGCCCACTGGTCAATGACCATGTACATAGCTGTGGGCACATAATCTACCCAGTCAGGAAGGAAATGGTGTCGCTGTCGTTAAACCACAACATCATGGCCCCCAGAAATTGGGGGGGGGCGAGGGGGAAGGTGAAAAAAAACTTGAAACAATTCGCACATGGGACCCCTTCCGCCGGATGCGCAGCACCTCGTTCCATTGTCGAGAGGGAATACGGAGGACCACAACGGAACTGACGTGAGAACTGGTTCCAACCTTGTCGGACACCAACCAACTTTTGAATGGGAACCGGCGCGCGAAACGGTTCCAACCAACTCAGACAGCGTGCGACTTCGCGGGGAACCGACTTTGGAAGTTGTTCCGATGACCACACACACACACACACTGTGTCACAATCAGTTTATGTCTGTCAGTCTTTTCTCCTGTTGTCTCTTCCCCCTGATTTTTTCTGAGGGTTTTTTTTTTCCTTCTTTTGTGCCCAACTGAGCACCCATAAGTAGTGCCAAACAGTCGGTGGTTCCTTGTTTGGATTGCCTACCGCACTCTTATGGGGGCCGCTCTGTTCGGGATGTCTGTGTTGCCTGTGCATGATGACGGGTGCTCGTCGGAGTGACTCCCTGGCTCAGTGGGTGTGTGGGAACCAACAGTCTGTAGGGGTCAATCGTGATGTGAGTAGGTCATGTGCTGCTTTGCTCCGTGTTGGATGTGTGGACGTCCTCGTCTGCGCTCCGCCGCTGCCCTTCTGCCTGTCCCGCTTGCTTTGCATGTGGTTCTTTGCAGGTTGAGGTGTTCGCTGTGCGGTGTGGCCATGTTGTTCGTGTTGCCTTTCGCAGCGCTGCTCCGCTGCCTTGCTGCCCTTCCGCTGGTCGTTCCTTCTGTGTTTGCTGCTTGCGGGCTTTGTTGGATAGCTGCCTTGTTGTTGAATCAGCTGCCTTGTGCATCACTCCATGGTTGCGAAGTTGCTGGTCTGCTCGCCCTGTCGTCCCTTGCAGTGTGGTTGCCTTGTTGTGTTCTCTTGTGCTTCACGACACGGTCGCTGTGCTGCATGTCCTGCGCGCCATGTCGTTCCTTGCGGTCGTTTTTGGCGTTGTGCAGCCGTGTTGCCTCAACTGTGCTGCCTGGTGCTCCACAGGGTTTCTGCCCGCTGCTATGTTCCGCTTGGGGACAGTCTGCCTGTAACAAGGGTCAAGGTTCATGACCCAAACCATCAAATATGGAGATTCCGCAGATTGTCGATGGTTCAGCCTCCTTATGAGTCGGTGCAACTCCGACGAAACAATCTTGTTATCATCAGTTTTTATTTTTTTCAGTTTTGCTTCTTTCGGGAACTCTGCTTTTTTCGGTTTGCCTGTTTGGTGTGCTGGCATGTTGTCTGCCGTCCCGCCGCCTATTGTTCATCCTGGTCTTGGCATTTTTTGGGAGTGTGTGGTCTGCCCTTCCGCCTCCCCCATGCCCTCCATCCTATGTGGGAGTCTAAGAAAGCTGGTCATGACATGGATTTGCCGTGGGCTCTGATTTTCACACACACACACACACATACACACACACACACACACACACACACACACACACACACAC